CTTAAGTGGGATTATTCCTCCAACCAGGAACAGGAAGGATTTACACTCCCACTGAATCCACCAATGGGCTCTAGGGAATAGCCCTATTTAAGGACACAGGGAGGGGGGTTTGTATAGGATATGTTTATTTATGTATTGTATATTGATACATGATAATTGTTTTTATTTGTGGTCCCTGAGGAAGTTCTTACAGAACGAAACGCGTAGGACAATTTTATGTTATTTATATCCTATGCTGAATATGGTGACTACACCTTTTATTTAAATAAATGTTTTATTGCTGAACCCTGACCTGTGGATGTCTTTTTGGTGGAACAAGGATCCAGAGGAGACAAGCAATATCAGCTAGCCCCCCACTATTCCAGGGGAGGCACCCTAAGAGCGCTTTTATCATCTACATCTTGTGAGTGCAAAAGATTGTTGTGCATATAATATTGTATCTTTAACAATATCACACTATGTTCTGTTTTATATTTCTTCTGTAGATTTACATAGCCACATCCCGAATCTTCTTTTTTGGTTGACATTAATCCAAATGCTGTTTGAAAAAAACAAAAAACACCTTTTCAGGCAGATAATTTCACATCTTTATTGTTCTTACTGTAAAAAAAAGCCATTTGCTTCACCTTTGACTAAATCTCCTTTCTTCCTGTCTAAACGCTTGATCTTGTTTTCTATGTTTATGAATAGATTTCCAAAACATGGTTTGTATTGGACCTCAATATATTTGTATAATGCTATCATGTACCCTCTGAGGTTCCATTTTTCCAAACTAAAGAGATTTTAATTTGTTAACCTTTCTTCATAACTAAAATGTTCTATTCCTTTTATTAATTTTGTAGCCTGCTTCTGTACTTTTTCTAGAACTATAATTTCCTTCTTTAGAACAGGTGCCCAAAATTGCACAGCATATTTAAGGTGTGACATTAACGGTGATTTATAAAGAGGCAAAATTACTTTTTCATCCAGAGAATTTAATGCCCCTATTTATATATGACAGTACCGTACTAACCTTAGCCACTGCTGATTAACATTGCACATTGTTGCCTAGTTTGTTGTCTATAATTCCCAAATCCTTCTTGTGAATTGTTATCCCTAATTCACTACCGTTTAGGGTATACGTTGCTTGTGCATTCTTTACCCCGAAGTGCATAACTTTTTTTTACATTAAATTCCATCTGCTGTTTGAGTGCCCAGCCCCCCAATCTATCTAAATCCCTCTGCAGCAAAGCAATATCCTGTTCATATTGTTTTACTTTACAATTATTATTATCATACAAGGGAGGCCTGGCACAGGACGCCTCATACCATTACTTATGGGCATTGGGTCGGCACTTCAAATTAAATAACTGGGGATGGACAGATCAGTATCCACCCCTGTGCACCCATCCATGGCCAGCGAGTGGGGGCTATTAAATTAAAAGAGGAGTGGATATACTAGTGTCCATCCCTAAACCCATGATGGGAGCATTTAATTAAACAATAAATGAAGGGATAAGTGAGACTTGCCTGATGGCGCAATCTGATTACTAGGCTTACAAGCCAACCACTCAGAGCACTTTAACTGGAACTGCATTACATGGGGAATGCCTTCTAAGATATTTGCTTACCATGCAAGTTCTATCTGTGTGAAGCCCTCAATGAGCTAACATGGGTTATTTTTGATGTGTTATTGAATGCTTTATGTATGTGATTTTATTAGTTGCATTGGGACATTATGGATTTTTATTTGCCTTTTCTGGGGTTGAAGAAAAGACATTAAGAATAAAGAATACCTCTTCAAGTAGATCGTTTTTTTTAGAGGAATTTAATTTATAGGGCTCACATTATTAGGGTGAGAGGGTAGGCAGATATTTTAACTTGGGAGAGTGGCTATGGGCTTGGGAGCAGGAGGGCGGACAATGGTGAGAGTTTTTGGGGGACCCACCCAACTTCTATATTTAGTTAACAATTGGTGGGGGCTGGAGGTAGATACTATTAAAAGCTATTAATAAATTGGGAGGGGTGGGTAGGACTTTATGTACCACCATTTATTCTAACTACAGTCCGCACCTGCTGTCCATGCTTATTAATGAATTACCCCTACACTAGGTTGTCCCTCACACTTTTTTAATGTAATAGCTCATACTCTGTAGCCAAGGAGGTAGTCATCACTAATATTTTATTACACTGAGCTGCCAGTGGCCAATTGCTGTTTAGCATACATGTTCCCATCTGCTTCATGTAAAAGTAAAAGTGTTAAACCTCACTTGTACAAATGTTTGGGTCATATCACAGGATTAGTCATTAAAAAAGGCAGATAAATGTGCTTCCAAAGCAAGATTTTTCTCTAGTAGTTGACTCATTTATCAGGTTCACCTGCTGGAATTAGGCCTGGCATTAAATCCATTGGAAATTCGATAAGATAAAAAAAACAGTTGATATCTATCAACCGTTCTCTGCCAATAAAATTAAATCAAGGCCAATGTATTTTATTATTTTACAGATGGGGATATGTGTCCCTGTAACGTCTAAAAACCCCATTAAGTCTGTATATGGAGTGCATTGTGTAGTCATAGGACATTGTAGAATTAAAAAAAGTGGTGTATTGCAGTAAAATATAACAGTATTATGATATTCATAGTAAATAAATGTCATGCCTGACTTGGGGAATAAAATTACATTTCTTAATTTCTAATAACACTGATTTAGATTCTATTCATATTTAACTATGGTTCAAATAAAAACTATTTGATGCCAAATGAAAGCCCTATTGTCCTTTACAAAATGATATCTAATAAGTGTAGTTAAAACTAATATGAAAGAAGTAAATTATAATTAAACAAACATATATTTCAAATTATAGGTTTTCTTTTAGACTTTTGCCTCCATCCTCAATGGGTTAATGTTCATTTGATGGAGATCTTGCCTTTAGATTACATAAATCTTTAAAATAGATCATTGGAGCTGTACATTGACAAAATGTATTCTCTGAACCTGCATGCTTATGCTGGAGTTCCAAGTCATGGATATTTTCCAGCAGGTGTCAAATATTGTAGTTATCTTACAACAGTTTTTAGAATACTTTGCGAAAGTTCTAAATTCTTTATATTAAACCTCATTCCCTACTACCTGCTGCTTATAAAAAATATATATATTTCTGTTTTCTAAAATCTCCTATTCCTTTGACATCAGAAATGGATCTAGCCACAAATGGGTTTGAAAAGGTAAAGTTAGTAAAGGCAATATAGAAATATAATATAAAACCAAAGAATATGTACAATAACACCCCAAAATCGCATAAAAATATAAGTGGTGAAATTACCCTTATATAATTAAAGATTGTAAGAAGATTCCTCTTATCTTCTTTATACGTACGTAAAAAATACAATCTATAAAAAAGGAAGAAACTGGAGTAGCGTGGATGAAAATGTGATGAACTGTGGGTAACTTAGGGTTACTCACAGGTAATTAGCTTGTAGCAGGCACATAAAGGTTTCTTTTAACGTCCTAAAAAGAAACCTTTACGTGCCTGCTACAAGCTAATTGCCTGTGAGTAACCCTAAGTTACCCACATTTCATCACATTTTCATCCACGCTACTCCAGTTTCTTCCTTTTTATAGATTGTATTTTGTAAATAAAGTTAGTGAAGGGACTAGTGTCATCCCAAATCATCTTCACATACTCTGTGAACGCTCTAAATTCTTTAAAACAGACCCCATTCCCTACCACCAATATTTGTTTTCCTCCTACTATGTCCAAGATAGCCTGCTGCTTAAAGAAATATGTGTGTGTGTGTGTGTGTGTGTGTGTGTGTGTGTGTGTGTTTGTTTGTTTGTTTTTTTCTAGATGAATGGTCTTTGACATCAGAAATGGATAAAGTCAAAAAGCATTTGAAAAAGGGGTTCTAAAGGTAAAGTTAATGAAGGAACTGATGGCATCCCAAAATTATCTTCACATCTATAAAATCTTGAGCATAGTGTGTTTATTTGTTTGCAGAACATTTACAACAACAGTGCATACATGTTACAAATGGTACAAATGGTAAAAAAAATATATAACTTGAGCAATTATGTTCATTGAAGAAATATGAAATATAAAGTCAGGGGATGCTAGAAATTGACTTTATTTAAAACTTTCAAAGAATTTCTTAGAATTGGCAGAGAACAGCTGAAGTGGACTAGGAATTAAAAGAGTACAGTAAAATATTAAGGGCTGCAAATTAATAATGGGATTGGGGTAATTTTCAGTTTTTTGGCCTGTTATGCTTTGTATGGCCCCTCTTACACTCTCTAAAGGATTTTTGTTTAGTTTTTAAAAAAAATTTAATTATTTAATACGTCCGTTTTCTGTTTGTATCCTCTACATTCAATATTCTACACATATGATACAATTGATGTGGTACTTTAGTTTTTTAGTTATGACAGATTACTGAGTAAAACTGTATCTTTTTTGAGAAAATTATACGAATACATAAGCTTTACCATCAGCTCCAAAATGTGACTAGAACAAGCTTCTCCATGTTTACTTTATGAGTATTTTAATATTTATCGATTCTTTGATATTTTTGGAGCCTCATCCTCACTGCAATGCAGAAAGAACTATGTTTATATACTATTTGCACTAACTGAAAGTTCAAACTATTCCTCTTCAGTTTAATCATACGCATGTACCTATAGCATATTCATTCATTTGAATATACTTGTGTACCTATAATATATTGATTTCTGTTGAAATGTGATAGTTAAGTCCAGCAGTAGCATAACATTCATGACATCACATGATGTAGAAAGTCTGTTGCATTGTTTGCATGCTCGTGTTATGTCAAACTTGTCTCACTGCAGCTTCACAGATACATGTTAGTGATGTCATCGAGAAAAAGCTGACATCACATGCTGTCTAAGCAGGAGCTGCAGAGACATAGCATTTCTCTTCAGTGCTTCTGAGGTGTAAGAGAGCATTTCATTTGCTGAGAGTTTTTTCCTATTTGCCTTGTATTTGGTGTATAATTAAACAACCAATGATGAAGAGTAAGAACAAGAAAAGAAAGAGAGATGAAAGTAGGAAAGAAAGGAATGATAAGTCAAACAATCAGCCAACGAGTGCAGAACTAGAATGCAGGGAGGCTAAGCGCCAAAGGGGTAAAGTGGAAACACGTGTGAAAAATAAGAAAATCAAAGGTGAGAATAGGTTGATAGGCCAGGGCTGCTAGTTTTTATATAATCCATAGGAATAAAGTAAAAAAAAAAAAAAGGGGGAAGTGGGCATTTACATTAACAAAAGACATGGAATATGAATCAGTATCAAATAATTAATAATGTTGTATACACCAATTTAACAATGTAATATGTAATTCACCACTTTTAATCTGATTGGATAACGCTGATACATTAAGTCAGTACTAAATGTAACAAGATTATTAATGCTGAGAACTGATCATTTATTGAAAACTTTTTCAAGGAATTCTTACATGATTATTAAATCATATTATTTATTTTTCTTTACAATAGGAAAATGTAATGAGCCTCCAGCTACATCTGCAATTTCGTTAGACAGACTTTCATTCCAACGAGTCCTAGGAAGAGGCGCCTTTGGAAAAGTTTGCAATGTTTATGCTAGAATTTAGTATTTTATTGGAGAATTTGAAATAGTTTTTTTGCTACAGATTCCCAAACTACTATATTTAACATGTTCAAATGTCCAAATTATTTTAGTTACTTTGATCTACTTTAGTGTGAACACTTTCAATAATTTCCATCTCAGTCTCAAGTCTATTTTAAAGATTGTATTCAAGACCAGCACATCAGAAAACATGTTGTATACATTATAAGCCTATATTATTATGATATATTCATCCCCAATTTTTGTGGAATCATTATATACAGGACCGTCTTTTACGCGGGGCAAACGGGGCAGCTGCCCCAGGTCCAGTTACTCCCCGTGGGCCCTGCTGCCCTCAAAAAAAAAAAAAAGTTTCCTGGCCGATTTAGGTGGGGCCCCACACTGTAAGGGGTCCCACCGGGTGGCCCATGCACTTAGGGCCACCCAGTGTACTTGTACCAGCAGGGGCACGGTCTGGCGCTGCGGCCCTTTAACAGAGTGACCGAGTCCCTTGCTTTTCGGCAGCGCTGGGAGGAAGTGACAGCCGAGAGTCACTTCCTCCCATAAAGAGAGCTGCTGCGCGGGAGAGGGCAGAAGGAGCTGCACGGGAGAGGCCAGAAGGAGCTGCACGGGAGGGAGGAGGAGGAGGCAGTGAGGATGGGGGCTCCTCACTCGCATCAGCCTCAGGCAGCACACTGGACCCCAGAGATGCCACCCTCCAGCAAAAGATAGGAAACTGGAGGGTGGGCCCAAAAATTTAAATTTTACATGTATGTCAGTTTGTCTGTCCATGTATCTGTGTATGTATCTGTGTGTGTCAGTATGTCTGTGTGTGTGTGTGTGTGTGTGTATATATGTCAGTATGTCTGACAGTGTATGTGTCAGTATGTCTGTGTGTGTGTGTGTGTGTGTGTGTGTGTGTCAGTATATCTGTGTGTGTGTATGTGTCAGTATGTCTGACAGTGTATGATCTGTGTGTGTCACTAGGTCTGTGTGTGTTAATATGTCTGACAGTGTATGTATCTGTGTGTGTCAGTATGTCTGTGTGTGTGTGTGTGTGTGTGTGTGTGTGTGTGTGTGTGTGTGTGTCAGTATGCCTGACAGTGTATGTATCTGTGTGTGTCACTAGGTCTGTGTGTGTTAATATGTCTGACAGTGTATGTATCTGTGTGTGTCAGTAGGTCTGTGTATGTCAGTATGTCTGACAGTATGTATCTGTGTGTGTCAGTAGGTCTGTGTGTGTTAGTATGTCTCACAGTGTATATATCTGTGTGTGTCAGTAGGTCTGTGTGTGTGTGTCATTATTTCTGTCTGTGTATGTGCCCATGTGTGTGTCAGTATGCCTATTAGTGTGTATGTGTGTGTGTCAGTATGTCTGTCAGTGTATGTATCTGTGTGTCAGTATGTCTATCAGTGTATGTATCTGTCAGTATGTCTGCCAGTGTATGTGCCTGTGTGTCAGTATGTCTATCAGTGTATGTGTCTGTGTGTCAGTATGTCTGCCAGTGTATGTGCCTGTGTGTCAGTATGTCTACCAGTGTGTCTGTATGTGTGTGTGTGTGTGTGTGTGTGTGTACCTGTTGTGTGTGTGTGACAGGCACATACACTGATATACATACTGACACAGGCACATATACAGACATACGGGGACACACACAGGCACACTGATAGACATACTGACACCAACAGGCACATACAATGACAAACATACTGACACACAGATACATACACTGACAGACACTTACAGACACACACACACACACACACACACACAGGGACATGCACTGATAGATATACTGACGCACACAAACACAGGCACATATACAGACATACTGACACACACACAGGCACATACACTGATAGATATACTGTGTGTGTGTCAGTATGTCTGTATATGTGCCTGTGTGTGTGTGTGTGTCAGTATGTCTATCATTGTATGTATTTGTGTGTGTCAGTATGTCTCAGTTTATCTGTCTGTGTATCTGTGTGCGTATCTGTATGTAGTCAGCGTGTGTACCTGCATGTGTGTCACCGTGTTAACCTGTGTGTCTGAGCATCTGAGCACCAACATTAAATACAAATACACCCCTCCATTCAAACTTCAACACTACATACAAACACACTCCTGCATTGAAATGTCAACATTACATACAAATACACTCCTGCATTGAAAGTCAACACTTCATACAAATACACCTCTGTGTTAAACACCAAAAGTATATATAAACAAACCCCTACATTCAAATGCACACCTAAATGCACACTTGCATTCAAACTCTAACATCACATACAAACACATTCACACAAACATATTCCATACAAAAACAAGCTTACATTCAAACACACAAACACAGTGCTAAATACAACCCTGCAAGCATGGAAAATTGGTATAGCCCCAGCTGTCGTTGGAGTTGCATGACAGATAGGGTTCTACCTTCTTTTCAACCTTGCAATTGGGGGTCCCAATGAAATTCTTGCACCAGGGCTCTTTCTACTTCAGTTACGCCACTGCGTTGGGGTGGAGGTGTGATTGCATGCCAGGGAGTGGATCCAGGGGGCCCAAGCAAATGCTTGCCTAGGGCCCAGTCAATATTAAAGATTGCCCTGATTATATGTATAGTACATTTGCATTTGGTACAAAGCTCTGGGGGTGCTGTCTGCTATTTAAGACAAGCATATGATCTTCCTGAACCATCCAGGACTGTTGTGAGAAGCAACGTGTCTATGTTTCTTCCCCCATAGATAGTGCTCGGCCGCCTCTGTCAAATCAGAGAGTGGAGGGAATATGTTCTCAATATAATTTATAAGGTGGAAGTGCCCCCATTCTATTATGTGTAAGAAGGAGGAGACGGAGGCATAGCAACATATAAAAATGTTTCTTCAGCTTAAACTTAGAACTTTTAGGATCAACTTTGGTACCTATGATTAGAGTCTTTCGGTTTATAGGGAAGAGATTAGGGGGAGGAGTTTGAGGTTGATTTAAGTTTAAAATTGGGAATTAGGAATTAAGTTAGTGGTGTTTAGGACTAATGGGATTTAGCATAAAAAAAACGCTCCCCACCAATAACACAGTTCAGTTTGTTGAAGTGTTTTATGGGTAAGGAGTATCCCCTTTTAATAGCACTTTAAAACGTGAAATTACACATAGGGCTCCACAATTAATAAGAAAAGTGGGGAAATAAAAAGGGAATTTGTTTTAGACCAAATAGTCATACTGAAAATGGTCTTGAGTCGTCCACCTGCATTTTTCTGGTCAGTTATAACTGTGTCCTCCTAGCTGCTCATTTCAACTTGCAAGAAGTCCAGCACATGGCAGTAGACACATGATGGGGAAAGAAGTATATGAATGTGGCAGTTACCCCTGCACATCGTGATCAACTCTCTGTAAAATATTGTCTCTTTCCAAATGTAATGATTATATTTTGTAAACAGTCATCTCTTGTCATTAAATAAAATCCATCTGCACTACCGCTTTTCACGCAGAAACTATTTACCAAGTTTTCTTCTGCCTTTAATGCCTTTGTTTCTTCTACAGGTCATGCTGGCCTCAGATAAAATAACTAAGGAGAATCTGGCAGTGAAAATTGTCAAAAAAAGACCTCTGCTACATGAGGATAAGGACAACACACTTCTAGAACGTCGAGTGCTAGAGGTCGCAAATGGATGTCCCTTCCTTATTGGCGCACACGCCACTTTCCAAACTAAAGTAAGAACATTATTGCCGTCCATCAGCTCTTTCATTATAGGAAAGATAAAATCTTCAGCATACTATATTATCTTTTTTTTATTATTTTGTTTTGCCTTTGCAAACAGGATCATCTATTCTTTTTAATGCAATATTTGAACGGAGGTGATCTGCATACGTTTATTGAAGAGAACGGGAAGCTGGACATTGACTTTGCAAGGTAATTCTTGAAAATAGATAACAGTAACTGAAAGAGGACAATGGGAAATATTATATATAAAATACACTATATAGAAGAAAGTGGATGGAGGACAAAATGGTAAACAATGTGGTTGCAGATGGAAATTAACCAAGGTTCTTGGATACAGCATTAGAAATGTAACCTGAACATCAGCCTCATCATTCCTCCACTTGTACACAGTGAAAAGTATTACTGCATATAAATTAGTAGCATTATTGAGAATATTGTAAATGAGGTAAACCACTCATATCTGAGATATAACTATTAGAGCTAAAAACAGGATCAGAGCAGTATTAAAGGACCACTATAGTGCCAGGAAAACATACTCGTTTTCCTGGCACTATAGTGCCCTGAGGGTGCCCCCACCCTCAGGGTCCCCATCCCGCCGGGCTGTATGGAGAGGAAGGGGTTAAACTTACCTCTTTCTCCAGCGCCGGGCGTGGAGCTCTCCTCCTCCTCTGCTCCCTCTTCTTCCATCACCGGCTGAATGTGCATGCTCGGCAAGAGCCGCGCGCGTATTCAGCCAGTCCAAAGGAAAGCATTCTCAATGCTTTCCTATGGACGCTGGCGTCTTCTCACTGTGAAAATCACAGTAAGAAACGTGGAAGCGTCTCTAGCGGCTGTCAATGAGACAGCCACTAGAGGCTGGATTAACCCTAATATAAACATAGCAGTTTCTCTGAAACTGCTATGTTTATAAAAAAAGGGTTAAACCTAGCTGGATCTGGCACCCAGACCACTTCATTAAGCTGAAGTGGTCTGGGTGCCTATAGTGGTCCTTTAAAGCCAGTTGAGGAAATGTATATAATGTGCTTTGTGTTTATAAAATGAAATAGGGCTAATAAATTATATATTCATTTATTTATTTTTCAGATTCCTTGCTGCAGAAATGGTGTGTGGGATACAATACCTACACAAGAATGGCATTATCCATCGGTAATCTATTGTATTAGTTAATTATTATATATCGTATGCTCATTCTCTCTCAGTTCTAGGCTATAAATTTGTTATCCTTTGTGTTTCTAATTATTGAAGACTGATTTCTCATTTGTAAAGTTTATCTTCTTTACAGAGACCTGAAGCCTAGAAACATCTTATTGGATGGCAATGGTCATCTTAAGATTGCAGATTTTGGCTTGGCAGTAGAAAATATGTTTGCTGGGAAAACTTGTAGAGAGTATGCTGGCACAGCAGGATACATTGCTCCTGAGGTAACAAATACATTGCAAATCCAATAGTCTGTTAATTTGAAACTATTTATAAAGAAAGGAGTGGAACAACAACATATCATTATGTACATGGCACTAGAGTCTTCAGCTTAAAATTCACTCAAATTGGTAATTTTCTTCATATTAATCAAATTATATCTAGAAAATCACAATTGAAGGCTATCTGCATAAATTGTTCCAAGATCTAAAAGAAGAAGATATAATCTATAAAGCGTAAAGAAAGTGAGGTTTTCTGGAGTATTATCCAAAAATAAAATACTCCATCATAGCAAAGCTATTAATATATCAAAATAATGAAATTATTGTCACTTTTATTATTCAATGACTCTTACTAAAATTCTGTAAAATTAAAATTACTACATATCATCTCAATTGAAAAGGCCCTTACTCCTCAATTTTAGAAAATGTGTCCTCTTTAAAAGAAAACAATATATTTTATGCAATATTTACAAAGTATTGCAAAGTTTCATGTCTTCTTGTCATGTTCCACACTTTGTCTCTCCCCTACAATTTATTATTTCGTATTAAATTTTTGAGATTGTAATAGATTTTCCTATGTGTCAAATTTTGCCTAATATTCTTCTGTGTTCATTATATTGGTAGATGCTTCAAGAGCACAGATACAATGCTTCCATCGACTGGTGGTCATTCGGAGTGATTCTGTATAACATGGTTACTGGAAAAAACCCATTTTGCTGTGATAAAACCAGCAACACTAAAGTTAAATCTACACTGGAGGACACACCAAGTTATCCTCCTTATCTGTGTGCTGTTACACGAGACTTTTTAGAGAAGGTGGGTATGAATGTGCTATATAGGATAATACCATAAAATAGGAAAGATATGTTATAAGGAACAGATTTATAGAACACCGAGTGGAGTTATAAGAAAGAAAGGTTTGGATATGTTGGCTATTTTTGCCACTTAAATCCTAACTTATAGAGATATCATGTTAGATAGAAGAATAAAATAATCTTTGTGGTTGAATGGTAAATGTGGGTAGTTAGAGAAAGTAAATTTTTTTTTTTTTTTAAATCTTTATTCCCCTACGAAAATACTTGTAGCAGAAACATAATGTGTACTATGTCTAAAGAACAGCAAGAAAACCCCAGGCACAAATCCCATCCCAATAGAAATAAGAAAATATGGTGAACAGTTATGTCTTTAAAAAAAAAAAATCCTTGAATATAATTCTTAGTTTCTATTTCACAAAATTCCATCAACTCCCACTGTATCATTTGAAGTGAAGAGAGAAATGACCAGTTCAGCTCATTATGACCCCAAAACAGATAGATGATATGGGGTAACAGAAAAAAGAATAGTGATCTTAAAATTCAATTAATATTGTTTACAATCTTATAATTCAAATCATAATTATTCTATAAACATAACTTAAAATGCTTATTGGATAGATTTTGTTTGACTGATTTGTTTACTTTTGGGGGTTTTTACAGCTGCTTTGTAAAAGACCTTCCAAACGCCTTGGACACAAAGGAAATATACGCAAGCACCCCTTTTTCAAATCAATAAATTGGGAGGAGCTTGAGGCTGGGCGACTAGTCCCACCATTCTTGCCTTGCACAGTAAGTACATCAATAGAAGTTTAAAATTGTGTGTGACTTATGAGATCTTTGAAATATTTTTTAATTAACTCCTTCCCGACCTCGGACGTACCAGGTACGTCTGGCAAAAATGGTCCTTAAGGACCTTGGACGTACCTAGTACGTACATGGAATTCTTAGTATTTACCCGATCGACGCCGTTCTCCCTCTGGCGATCGGTGTTCCTCTCCATCTGGGGGGGACTGTCTGACAGTCCAGACAGTCCCCCCTTAGTAAATTAGGACCCCGCGGGCCATGTGATCGCACTGAAAGAGCGATCACATGGCAGCAATAGGCGTCCATAGTGGTGCCTGAAGGGGGACTGCCTGAACTGACAGGCAGTCCCCCTGCTGGTGAAAAAAATTAAATAAAAATGTTTAGTAAAGAAAATAAATATTATTATCTATATAATATGTATATAACACATCATACGAAGTGTATTTTTTTATTAATATATATATATTAATATAAAAATAAATTTAGAGTAAAATTACGCACGTGTATATATAGAATATAAATAATAACTATATATATTGTGTGTGTGTATATATATATATATATATATATACATATACACACACATTATTATTATTATAAAAAATAAATAATAATTAAAAATAAATAAAAAATTTATATATATTTAAATTCTATGTGCATAGTTATGTAATATTTTTACACAATTAAGTAATTTTATTGCTTGCAATTTGAGGGACCTGCCTGACAACCTAGGCCAAAAGTCCAGAGAATTTAATTTGCTAGCACTGTATTTAGCCCTGTAACTTTCCATGTCACCCTAAAAGCTGTACATTGGGGGTACTGTTATACTCGTGAGACTTCGCGGAACACAAATATTAGTGTTTCAAAACAGTAAAACATTTTACAGCGATGATATTGTCAGTGAAAGTGATGTTTGTTGCATTTTTCACACACAAATGGCACTTTCACTGATGATATCATTGTTGTGATATGTTTTACTGTTTTGAAACAATATTTACTATATTATATACAATACTAATATTTGTGTTCAGCGAAGTCTCATGAGTATAACAGTACCCTGCATGTACAGGTTTTATAGTGTTTTTGAACATTACAGGGTCAAATATAAGGCTTGATTTTCATTTTTTTCACATTTAAATTTGTCAGATTGGTTATGTTGCCTTTTAGAGCGTATGGTAGCCCAGGAATGAGAATTACTTCCATGATGGCCTATCATTTGCAAAAGAAGACAACCCAAGGTATTGCAAATGAGGTATGTTCAGTCTTTTTTAGTAGCCACTTAGTCACAAACACTGGCCAAAATTAGCGTTCATAATTTTTTTTTGCATTTTTAACACACAAACAAATATTAATGCTAACTTTGGCCAGTGTTTGTGACTAAGTGGCTACTAAAAAACTGGACATACTCCATACTGAATGCTCTAGATTGTCTACTTTAAAAAAATATGTACATGTGAGGTGTGATTCAGAGATTTATAACAGATAACAGTGTTCCAATGTTACTATTGATACATTTTAAAAATATATATTTTAAAACATCAATGTCCTACTTGTACTTATAGCCCTATAACTTTCTAAAAAAAGCTAAGAACGTGTTAACATTGGGTATTTCTAAATTAAGGACCAAATTTAGAAACTATTTAACATGGGTGTTTTTGGGCGGTTGTAGATGCATAACAGAATGTGGGGGTCAAAGTTAGAAAAATTGTGTTTTTTTAATTTTTTCATTATATTGCTTAATTTTTTTTTATAGTACATTATATGATATGATGAAAATAATGGTATCTTTAGAAAGACCATTTAATGGTGAGAAAAACAGTATATAATGTGTGCATACAGTAAATTAGTAAGTGCAAGTTATATTTCAGAAAATATTGTTAAAAAAAAACTAGTACAAGTTAAGGGAACACAAGTCTAAGGAAAGGGTAAAGGCAAAGAGGAAAGGTGAATGCAATGTGAAACCACATCACGTTCTATGAAAAAAGGGGACCCTTGTATATGAAGCATAGTGTGGAACCACCTTTAATCCTGAAGTAGATAGATTGGGAGGGAGGGGAGTGACAAAGAAAGAAAATAGAAGGTAAGAAGGGAGGTAGAAAGCAAGATAGAAGAGAAGAAAATAACTTATTATATGCGGGACCTGAACCCTACAGAGTAGTTCTGGATTATTGTTTAATAGCTACCCTGTGTAACATATAAACTCACATTGTGGTACCTCCAGGGAGAAGGGGAATGGAAGGTAGATATTAATAACTGAATTTTCCACCAATCTTTCTCTCATAATGGAAATACAGAATTGGAGTCTAAAGTGATTACTGTGAGACTGTGAATTCGACAAATATAATTAAAAAATGCTTAACAAAGAATGTTCCATTTCCCAACAGCCACAATTCTATGTAAGTGGTTTAACATCTTAAGGTAGGATATCTGAGGCCAAATCTGCAACCACAGAAACATTTCTTTTTAAATTAAACAAAGTGAAAAATCAATAAATGGCGAACAAATTAATACAAAATATAAATTGTATTAACCAATATAAATTCATAAGGGGATTCTATTGTTGAATCCTCCTGTAACCTTCCAAAGTAGTATCCTAAAATAACATGCGCTTTCTCAATAACATGAGAAAAATACTATTCACTGAAGTGCTACTTTTCTTGAAAAGTTCTTAAAAATGTGTTATGGGAGATCACAACAATCTTTTATAGGCAAACACCCCAAATACTTGTACAATTTTATATGTGCAGATCCAGCAAATCTAAGGAAAAAGACAAAGAAATCCTAGTGCAACGCTGTATAAATAATACAGCAATTAAACACCTAATGAATTCAAAATAAACAAGTCAACCATTTAAACATTCAAATAAATACCCTTAAAAAATTGTCTAACCTTTACTTACATCTTGTTTATATTTTTCTCTGTAGACATCATCACACGTTTCAAAAGAAACAATGAGTGTTGAAGAAGCCATATCACAGGTAAAGACAGCGCAGAAGCCAATAACTGCTAAAGACCAAAAGCTGTTTGATGGCTTCACATATGTCAACCCCAAATGGATTACTGCAGTACAGCCAACAGCAGTCCCAGGACCATCAGGGCTAGGAGAAACATCTTCAACATCTGCATCAATAAAGGTACTAAAATAAATAATGTTATTGCTATTTGGATTAATTAGGATCCTGGTTACTCTACTATAACTAAACACATTTATTTTAAAAAAATGAGCACGAGACCTATTTTTTCAGATTCCATCAGGATATTAATAATACAGACTTAAATGTTTAATCTAAAATGTTAGTATGCGTTAAATCATGGATGTCAAACACACGGGCTGCGGGCCACGGGCCGAATGCGGCCCACAATAAATATCTTTGTGGCCCAGCAAAGATATTCATTGCTAAGGGGAACTGGAGGCACATGGAGGTGGGCCAGAGGCAGGCCAGAGGTGCATGGAGCTGCACAATGTCACATCACGTTCCAACGTGACGTCTACATGCTCCGCCTTCAAGGGGTTTCAGGTCTGGCACAAGATACGGATGGCACCATTGGGTGTATAGATGCAGGACTCCAAATTCAGATACACAATGTGAGTGGAGTCCGAGTCTGGAGGCTAATATTGTGAGGGTTTCTTAAAACATGGGCAGGGGTGTGGGGCTGGAGTTTGGTGGGGTTTAGTAAAGGGATGGGCTGGAGTTTAGTAGAAGGGAGCTGGAGTTTAGTAGAAGGGGTGAATAGGGTTTAATAGAGGGGTTGAGGGGTGGATAGAGTTAGTAGAAGGGTGGATAGGGTTTAGTAGAGGGGGGACTGGGGTATAGTAGAGGCAGAGACATATATCTGTAGCTCGGGTAGCAAAGGACAGATTGATAGTCCAGGATATAGGTATTTCTAAATTATTTTCCAATAGGTATACTGACTAAATCTGGACCATATGTGTGCCTGGAGGACTAGACTTGGAACCACTGTTGTAGACCATTCAATGCTATTATGTCTGCTGTTTAATAGATCTGTTAGGGATAACATTGATTATTTTATATGTAATTAAATGTCTTTCAGAAGGAAAGCTACCATGAAAATCCACCCTCTTCTTAAGTGAAAGAGTTATTTCCACTCATATCATGTAGGGAAAACATCATAAGAAGGAAAAGAAAGATGGAAGAAAGCGAGAAATAAATGTATTTTAACAAATAAAGAAAATCAAAGGCTTCTCAATGATTCTCCTTCTCCTCTCCAATATAAGCCATTATTTAAAGCCATTCACTAAATAGTAAGTACTTCATGGTTCCACAAATCATGAATATAATAGATCCATCAAAAGAAAACATTTGCTGGAGGTGTGGGAAAGGACAGGGTTCATGGGTGCATATCTGGTGGAAAAGTGAGATCTCAAAGTTGGATAAAAATGTTCCAAATAATTTCAGAAATTGTAGGGGGGAAAATGCCCCGTGTCCCCTGAAAGCCTTACTGCACTTAAATTAAGGAGGGATAAAAAAAAACCAACAACAACATGGGCTGATTCACCATGTCCTTTTGGCAATGAAAATCACCATTGCCAGAAAATGGAAACATGTGGATACCATCTGTTGGGAACATATTAAAAACCAAATGAATACACAAAGACATATGGAAAAGGGATTGTTTAATAACAGCAGAAGTACCCTCAGGTTTTTTTGATACTTGGCGGAAATGGAATGAAGTGGTTTAAGATATATTTCACCAGGCATGAAAGAATTAGTCTTAGATACCAATAATACCAATAAGAGAATTGGATAGTGAATTAGGAGAAGTCATCACACTGAACCAAAATTGTTTGTCTAAGTTTGTGTATTCGTTTAGTGAATATGAATATGGATAATAGATACAAATTTTAGGTCTAAAACACTTTGTATGAAGAAATTATTTAAGAATGTCACTTATGATAATTTGGCTTTATGAGAATTATTATATTTTTGTATCTTCTAAAAAAAAAAGGAAGTACTTATTACTTCACGCATATTAACTCCAAATGGATCACCACAGTACAGCCCAGGGCTAGGAGAAACATCTTCAACATCCACATCAATAAAGGTACAAAATTAATTAATGTTACTGCGATTTGGATTAATTGGAATACTGGTCACTCTAGTATAAGTGAACACATTTATTTTCAAATGAACATGAGACTTGCATCCTCATATTTCATCAGGATATTGTTAATAAAGACTTTAAACTAAAATGTTAATGTTCTTTAAAATGTTTAGTATTTAAGATTGAATGGTCAGGATTTGTGTTTTCATTTTATCCAAGTCTTTTTTAGTTCCCAGTAAAATTCTCTCTTTCAGTTTTCTTTGCACACTCCATCACATCCATTTTTTTTATCAGAACCCAAATTTGTCCATTTTATGAGGTATATAATGCCTCTATACCTGGGATAGTGTGTGGGTTTTTAAAGCACAACAGCATGATAAAAGTTGCTGCTCTGGGTACATTTTAAATAAAGATAATAATAATAAAATAATAAAAGCAATAAAATCAATCTGAGGGTCATTTAAGAACAGAGGGCAGAGGCATCTCTGTAGCTCTGGTAGGAAAATGCAGACCAGCAGTCCAGAATATTGCTATTTCTCAATTATTTTCCAATGGGTATAGTGACAAAACCTGGACCATAGTTAAGTCTTAAAGATAAGGATGGGAAACACGGTTGTAGACAATACATTGCTATTATATCTGATGTATAGTAATGGATAACATTAATCATTTTATATACAATGAAATATCTTTCAGAAGGAAAGCTACATTGAAAATTCCCCTTCTCTTCTGCAAATGGAAGAGTCATTTCCAGGTATATCATGTAGGGCACTCATCATAAGAAGATAAAGAAAGATGGAAGAAAGCAAGAAAGAAACATAAAGAAAACCAAGGGCTTCGCAATTATTATTATTCTCTTCCCCAATTTAAAGGGATTCTATAGTGTAAAGAATATAAAGTTGTATTCCTTACACTATAGTTCCCTCTGCCTGAGGAGGACGTCCAGCATCAGTTAAACAATCAAAACTTACCGAGCCAACAGGAAGTGCCTCTAGTGGCTGTCTGATTGATAGCCACTAGAGGCGGTCTTAGTACTTAGTACAATGTAATCATTACAGTTTTTTTAGACATTAAATTTAGAGACATAAATGTAAATAAAATGTGATTTATCAAATATTTTATGAAGCAATCTTGTTTTTAATGCCACCTATATATAGTGGAAATGTGAAGCAGGAGTATTGAATTAAATGTATTTTACTTAGTGTACCTATTGTGACACTCATAACCCTAAATTTATAATGTCCCCCTTCGTCCATTTGCAATGTTGGGAGGTATGGGTCAGTGAGAAAGAGTAGCGGGGAGGAAGGAGTGAAAAAAGTTGCAGTTAAAATATATTAAAATATATTAAGAGAGAAATTAGGTAAAGGCCAGGAATGGGGAGGCATATTAAGTTTTGTCTTGGGCTCAAGCCCCAGTTTGTTTTTTCGAATGCCTCTGATGTAGATTTTCTTTTCCACAAAGCAATATCAGTGGAATGTCAGTTTTTACTAAATCTGGACTGCATTGATTGACTGAGTCTATAATTTATTTATAAAAGAAAATGAAAACATCTTTTTTTTAGAGGAATTTAAATCTGGAATGCCAGCTGTATAAGGGAACAATGGAACATTTGACAGATAATATCAAGTGATATGCCAAAGAGATTTTTGCATTCAATTTCAGGCTAATTGCAATTTGTCTGAATTTTGGCTGATTGGCAGGACATATAACGGAACAAACAACTTGTACAATGGACAGGCATGTTTGATTTGGATTTCAATCTGTGTTGCAAAATGAGATGATTTACGGGAAAAAAGATGATTGATTGTTATTTAATAAATATAAATATAGGTGTTTGTTTTACTGCTCCTCATCTTTTTCAATGCGTTATTTTTTCTTACTATATCTGTGAACCAGCTGCATTTGACACCATTGATCATTGGATTTTAAAAGAACACTTGCAGCACATCTGTGGTCTAGGAGGCACAGGTCTTAACTGGTTTAAATCTTTCCTCACTGGTAGATCACAGAGAGTAACATCAGGATGAAGCTCATCGTCACCAACAGAATTGGCCTGCAGAGTTCCACAAGGATCCATCTTGTCTCCCATGCTATTTGCAATCTACTTGCTACTACTGGGTAACATCGTCAGGCAATATGGCCTAAGGTATCATTGCAACACTGATTACATAGTTACATAGTTACATAGCTAAAAAAAGACTTGTGTCCATCAAGTTCAGCCTTCCTCACATTTGTTTTTTTGCTGTTGATCCAAAAGAAGGCAAAATAAAAACCAGTTTGAAGCACTAGGAAAAAAATCCTTCTTGACCCCAGAATGACAGTCAGATTTATCCTTGGATCAAGCAGTTATTACCCTACATTGAAAGATTATATCCTTGAATATTCTGTTTTTGCAAGTATGTATCTAGTAGCTGTTTGAACATCTGTATGGACTCTGATAAAACAACTTCTTCAGGCAGAGAATTCCACATTCTTATTGTTCTTACAGTAAAAAAACCTTTCCTTTGCCTTAGACGAAATCTTCTTTCTTCCAGTCTAAACGCATGACCTCGTGTCTTTTGTAAAGTCCGGTTTGTGAATAGATTTCCACACAATGGTTTGTCTTTGCCCCGAATATATTTGACACACAACTCCTCCTTTGCTCCACATACTACAGACCCAACATGCCTCATCAACACTTGCTTAGTAGACCTCATAGAGTGGATGGCTAGTTGGCTAAAAGTGAACCCAGACAAAATAGAGTTACTCTTGGTGAGGGGACCTCAGGCAATAAAAATATCCCATGATCACACAACTGACCTGGAGCTTGGAGGCTCTGAACTCATTACTTCATTAGAGATACGAAACCTTGGAGCACTAATGGACTCTGGACTGTCATTTAAACAGCAAATTTCTTCTGTAATAAAACATCTTTCATCTGAGAAACATAGCCAGGATACCACACTTAATTCCACCAGATTATATGCCAACATTAATCCATTAATTTTTATTTTCTAGGCTAGATTACTGTAATGTACTTTACATTACACTACAAAATGCAGGAGCCAGGCCACTGACCAATCAAACTCGCTCCTGCCAATCAAACTCGCACCTGGCACATAACACCTGTTCTCCACTCCCTCCATTGACTTTCAATTAAATGGCAATGGATATTTCAAAAATTGGCTTGCTGACCTTCAAAGCTTTAAACAATCAAGGCCCACAGTACCTGAAAGAGCTCCTGACATCCTAAATTCCATCTCTTTACTTCGGTCAGCCAGCAAATCCCTCCTGTTAGTGCCCAGAATAAATACAAGCTCAGGTTCCAGGGCACTCAGCCACATTGCCTCTGCGCTCTGGAACTTTACCATGCTCAGAGAGGCACCGTCCTTACAGTTTTTTTTTTTTTTAAAAGCTAAAGACCCAACTCTTTGGTCAGGTATTCAGTCGGTCATCTGACCATCATAAATTCAGCTTGGTCCTTGCAAAGGCAACACACATATTTTATTGGAGGAGGAGAAACAGAAATGTTTCCAGTGATAATGACTGACAAATATCGAAAATAGTTATTGTTCCAGGATTAGGGTAAAAACAGTGATGGGGATTTCTACATTTCAAATACCATAGCACCTCCCTTTTGTAAGTAGCCAAACCATTTAGGAAGAGTTTGACTGCAAACCTGTGTTATGCCAGGCAACACTCCATGCCTCATCTGCTTAGGAGCTTCCATTAGCTTTCCTTAGTGATAGGCCCAGCAGTGCAGGGTTAGCTCATTGGCTAAGGGTGTCAATTGAACACTATCAGCCAGTGAGTAAAGCCAGGCACCCTCAGGCTTAGCCTTCTGAAAGTGTTCTGTCTTATGTAGTGGAGATAGGAAGCAGCCCCAGGCCCACCCCTGGTAAGAAATAAAACCATTTTAAAATAGTTTGACTAGATACACGGGTGGGGAGACGGGCACCAGAGTGCTCCTGGCATCAAAGTTTGTTTGGAGTGTTTCTTTAATTTTATTTTTCAGATATTACAAACACATATCTGTTAAATATAGAGGCTAAGTAAACATAATATTAAAAATCTCAATGTCATAATTCCCTTCAAAATGTCAAAAAGTTATAGAAAAGAGCATAATAAATGTGTCACTTCAGTGGAGTTTATTTAGTCCTCCCCTGATCACCTGGGAATATTTCAGTCCTAAAAGTCAATTCATTAATGGTCCAATAGTGACTGGGTGAATACAAGTTACTGAAATCTCATATTGCTATCGTGTAGTATCTACTTGTCATGAGTACTCAGGGATCTTTCTTTTACCATTATTTAAGTGCATTGCCATTCCATAAATTACATGTCTGATTTTTTTCCCTAGCATTTACAAATATTGACCTTGATTTAATAAGCTTTCCAAATGATTCAATATTGATAGAAAAACTTTTCAAACTATATCAAATAAAAACCTAAAAACAAGTGTATATCAGGCATAGGCAACCCTCGGCACTCCAGATGTTCTGGACTACACCTCCCATGATGCTTTGTCAGTATTATAGGTGTAAAAGCATTATGGGGATGCAGTCCACAACATCTGGAGTGCCAAAGGTTGCCTATCCAAGGTATGGTGTTAAAATACGTAAACAATGGATTAATACAAAATTACTTAAAGAAGCAGCATCTTAAAAAGCCTAATAGCTCAAAAAACACTCCAGAGTAATATAACCCCAAAAAGGTATGCTGTGCCTTTAAGTATTAACTATTACCCTATATGTTTCTTCTTTTTTCATTTCCGTGTTATGATTTGATCTGACCAAGTACTGCAAGTTAGATTTTGCACTTCACACTAAATTAGAAATGTGCATGCACAGTTTGCATAGGTATATACATAAGCATTTTTGCACAAATATAAGTAAGCACAAAATATATATTTACAGAACCTATATCTACAAGACTCATTGATGCACTTTGGGATTGAAGGATAGCCTGTCTGGTCTGATCACACAGAAAAGCTACTGTAGCTTAAATTGCTGAAAAACATAATACTGGCCATGATAGAAAGGTGTCAGAATACACAGTGTATAACAGCTGTTTTTGCGTATTGAGCTGTGTAGCTGCAGACCAGATAGAGTGCCCATGTTGACCACTGCCGAATGTGCCTTCAATGGGGATGTGGGTTTTAGAACTGGACCATGGAGCAATGGAAGAAGGTTACCTGGTCTGATTAATCATGTTTTCGTTTAGATCGGGTGGATATCTGGCTGCGTGTGCGTAATTTTCCTGGGAAAGAGATGGCAGTAGCATGCACTATGGGAAGAAGACAGAGCGATTTTTATGCTCTGGGCAATGTTCTGCAGGGAAACCTTGGGTCCTGGCATTCATGTGGATGTTACTTTGACACATACCAACTACCTATAGATTGTTGCAGACTATGTACAACCCCTTTATGTCAATAGTGTCCCCTGATGTCAGTGACCTCTTTCAGGAGGATAATGCACCTTGCCACACTGTACCAATTGTTCAGGAATGGTTTGATGGAATATGACAAAACATTCAAGATGTTGCCATAGCTTCCAAATTTCCCAGATCTCAATCCGATTGTGCATTTGTGGGATGTGCTGAAACAAATCCAATCCATGGAGTCACCACCTCACAACTTGAGGGTCTTAAAGGATCTACTGCTAATATCTTGGTGCCAGATAACCCAGGACACATTCAGAGCTATTGTGGAGTCCATGACTGTATGAATTAGAACTGTTTTGGAAAAACAAAGGGATCTACACGATATGAGGCAGGTGGTTTTAATGTTGTGGCTGATTAATATGCCTATAGTTGATGTTAACGTCTCCTCAAAAGTCATGGTGGCTTAATGGCAAGTTATGAATAATATTTTCAAGAGGTGCAACATTGGATGAGACTTTATTTGGCCTCAGAGTTTGTAAATGTCTTAATTTTTAATACATATTATTACTTATTAATTGTTTTTTTATTAAAAGAAATTTCATAAGACACTCCGAAGAATTATATGGCTCAGGAATAAGCCATATAATTAGAGAATGTGAGAAAGGGCATAATCTTTTAAAACTCAACAGCCTGCCCATTGTTTAGTCCATGATCAAATCTCAAACAAAGCTTTCAATCACATGTGCCAGTATAAGAACGTATACCATGTCCATATAAGACTGATCCTGCCCATAAGGAAAGTCCAAATCTGAAATGCTCATGTTCTCTCTGCACAAGAGATGCAAAAATCCTGGGCAATCATTTCAACCTTCTTTGGGCCTTCTCGGCGAGGTGTCACTGATACCTCTTTAGACAAACTGAGCATGGGGTCTGTGTCTGGATTATCCTTGAGAGACCTCAAGCAAATGCTTTAAAGAAAAAACAGAGAACATAATAATTAGGCCAAAGAGCAGTTTATTTTTTATATAGTCCGATGGCTAATAATAAGCTTTTCAAATTATGTAATATTTTGGCTAAACTTTTGAAATAATTTTTTACCAAATATTCAATTATATATATTTTATATAAAAATGTCAATATATCAAAATATAACAAAACTGAAATATTTTTCATAATGTTAAATCATTTTAAAGGTTTAGCTAATTAAATGAAATCATTTGATGAACTTATCCAACAATATTAATTAGAGGCCTTTGTTTGGTCTCTTAACTCTATAAAAATGTGTATTTGGATTGCTTTTGTCCTGAGTTTTTCCTCACAATAAAAATACATTTCTAAATTGACTGAAGTAGCCTCATTCTTTGGGTTTTTATACTCATTAGTCTAATGTAATGTCTTTTGATGAAATAGCAAAATAAAAGGACTTTGGTTGTGAACTTATTTCAAAGCGTAAAGCAGGGGTCAGCAACCTACGCCATGTGTGCCAAGCATGGAACTCGAGGTGCCTCTGAACAGCACTCAATGCTATAAGAGCCAAACAGACTCTGGCCTATCAGTCCTGGTGGGACTTCAGATATCTGCTAATGCAAAAAGGTGGTGCGGGATAATCCTCAATTTACCATTCCAGCACTTGTGAGCAGAAATCCATACTGGAGTAGAGCAGCCCCCACCAACTATAGCAGCTCCTGCCTTTAGCCTGTACCTGGTCTACCTGGTCCCCACTGAATACCAAGGAAGCCACACACTAGATATTCACAGAACTGCAGAATAAGCCTCCACGTCATACAAATAATACTGACCACCCACAAACACACAAGTCCCCACAAACCTCACAAGCAGACTCTCGCATGTAATACCCCAAGCAGCCCCACACTCACACGCCAACAAACACACTGTGACATATCATCCACCCACACACACACACACACATACACAGCCCCCATACACAGCCTACATTCATAGGTATCATACAAAATACCACAAATTACTCATGAACATAGCTACGTGCGTACAAATACAATGATACAAAGCAGCTTCAGCATCTATAAATACCACAAGCAGAATACGGCAACATACACATCTGAATTTTAAAAAGATTGGGCCAGCACACCAAGGGACTTAAAGATATTGTTTTGGCACAGTACTACTAAAAGGTTACCTACCCCTGGCGTAAAGTATGCCTCAACTAAAAGTTACTGTAATATGTGCAATATTTAGGATGGCCACAAGATGGTAGACTGCCATCAGTAATTGTATTTAATGGCTTGTGTAGCTATAATTCTGCTACTTGAGAAATTGTTCTCCTGTACATGCTGGCAAACAAAAATGGTTCTATGTTATATGTACTACTAACATAATGCTTATTTAATCAAACCATTTCATTGATTTTAATTTTTACAGCATATTAATTCTGCATATTGTAGATGAGACATATAGTTAATGATGTGACTTGGTCAATGACCTCTTAAGTTCATTGTACAGCTTATTCATTAGCTGAACTCACTTATTAGTCTTTTGTCCAATATATTTTGATCTCTGTCTGACAGAGCATGTAGGCAGTGTCAAAAGCTATACTGTAAAGCTTAATTTTGAGAGAAATACACAGCATTTAAAAAAAACTGTCATCATTGGTTTTAAGTATTATTTTAAATAAAAGCTAAATCAATTATAACCTCTGTGTGTATTATTGTATTATTTTGTATACTTCCCAACTCCGGCATCCTGCAAATTGGAACGCCGGTGGGAGGGAGGTAAAGGGGGCAGGCCAGTGACACAATGCACAGAGAACAAAATGAAGAGTACAAAGGGTACATGACAAAAGAGTACAAATGTAAGGGTGGGTATATCACAAAATATTTGACAATGGCATGTGGTGGCAATGATCGCGAATGTCACAGTGAATAAAAGGGTTTGTTACATAAGAACAATCAAATTACAAAATATCAGTCATTTGTAGAACAGTTGGCATAAACAAGGAATTTATAGATATTGTGGGTAATAGACAAATAAGGCAGAATGATGGACTGTGGTCTGTAGTATTAGATCAAATGGTAAGCTTTGAGTGCTATCAAGGTGTGGCCCATACATCCCAAACTTGGTGAAACCTATGAAAAGACTTTAAATAAAGATGTGGTCTCTCTAAGGCCCTCCAAAGTGCAGATAAATAGTGAGTGGGCCACTGCTGGCTTGTACAATGAAAAAGGGGCCCAGGTGTCTCATCTTGCACCTCCGAGAGGTTCTCTCCCGTGTGTGTGAGTCACAAGCGTGTTGCAAATCAGGTGCAAGCAGGTCATTGAATTCACTTGTGTTGCGCAGAACAAATACTAATAAATAATAATAATAATAATCAAATTAAAAATAATCTCTGAAAGTAAGTGGTAGTGGGAACGAAACAATAAGTCAACGCTGATATTTTTTAAGTCTGTAATGATTTAAGTAAACTAGAAAAATGGTCAGAGCTGTGGCAACTGACATTTAATGTGGATAAGTATAAGATAATGCATCTG